CCGCGGAGCGGCTGGGCCCGCGAGCCATGGCTGCTGAGCCTGCGCGTCCGGAGCCTGCGCTCCGCAACGGGAGAGGCCGCAACAGTGAGAGGCCCTTGTACCACAAAAAAAAAAAAAGAAAGAAAGAAAGAAGATGGTATGTCAGTGACAATTCTAGCAGCTGAATCACACCTCCCCCACCTCTTTTGGTAAGTGAAATATTAGGTGGTAATGCAGGATACGATTGACTTCAGCGTTGTCCCCTGCCCTGGCCCCTGAGGTACTCCTGAAGGAAACTCTAGGTTTCATGGAATAGATATTGTTAGACGCCTGAACTAGATTATTTTGCAGCTGCTTGGGTTCCTATATTCTTAATTTCTAACGATAGCTGTTACTTACACTTAAGATAGTATTTGGTGATCTTTTTCATCTGCTCACGTTCATTTATCTGGTCCTCTGTCAGTGGGAGCAGCCACTGAGACCACGTCTGAAAACCCATTCCCTCATTCATACAGTTACATAACACAGGAAACTATCACCTAAATACAGTGGATTTTTTGCTGCTTATTTTTTTTTAACCTCTAACAAAGGAAAAAATAATTTTATATCTTGACAGTATATGTGTGTGTGTGTGTGTATGTATGTATATATATATATAAACATAGACACATATACACATGAATCTATGACATATATACACATGACTAAGACAAGTTACACAAAATAATAGTTATTCTTGCTAGGTGCAGTGCAGTCTGATATTCTGTATTCTGTTTCATTTAAAAAATTACTGATCAAGACCAATAAAATTGTCTTCATCATGGATGGGGCACAAACCACATTTAAAAAATATATACTGGCTAATTGAAATTAGGTTCCTCTAAGGCTTAATATTGTTTCTAACTAATTTCAGGGTTTATATCAGTATGTAATTGCTTTAAAATCATTTAGCAGTGTTTCTAGAGATTATGTGTTGTTTTCCTGACAGATATTTTTTACAAGTTGGTGAGATTACTGTTTGTCCATTGTCATATGTGAAACCTGCATCTGTCATTGATTCCAGTTGCAACATACTAATGGAAAAGTGGCGGAAGTCACTCCCGTTTTCCCAACAGTGGTAGAGAGCATATGGACTTGGTGCTGCATCCAGTCTAGAGTATACTTGCTCTTATGACAGGCCCCAGAATTCGTGAATACAGGGATGAGAAACACATTTCCTACAACTTTGACCATTTCAGTTATTTGGTACTTCTGCAAACTTCATATCAAGTACTTGAACTCCGACTTTAATCTCACTTTTTAGGAAACTTATATGATATAGCTGAAGATTTTAAATAACTCTCCTTTTCTGTTAAACAGTAGATCAAATGACATACAGAGTATGTTTCATCTTTTATAATCACCTCTTTAATAGCATGTTTGCTATTAAATAGGAAAAATATTGTTTATATACCATTTTAAAATTGCATATACCTCAGTAGTATAGCACTTGACACAGCACTTGAGTGTTTTCTCTTTGATCTTCCTAATAATTCATAGATACCTGCAGGGCATTTTTGTGTTGTCTCCTTTCCTGTAAAGAAACAGGTTGGAGTATCCAACTGATGGAATTTGTTTTTTACTTAACCTTTTTTCCTAGGAATGATCACGAAGTTGCACATACTCAAAAGCCTGAATTCAATGTTTAGCTATTTTTTATTTAGTCACTTTTTTGTTGTTAGTTTGCTACTCCCAGAAAACTTTATTGAGTACTGGCAGAGAATTGAGATTGACTATTCCAAATGCATTTTCTGCTTTGCAATCTTACAGGCCCTGGCCTATTTTGAGCAGTTAAAGATTTCCCCAGATGCCTGGCAGGTGTGTGCAGAAGCTCTGGCCCAGAGGACATACAGGTGACTAAAACAAAATTTGCGTGATTTGTAGGAGAATTTAAATTTTTGTGAACTTGACAGGATTGTTACATTTACCTGTTTGGAAAATGTTTTCATAGAAACATTTTATGATTTATATTTTGGAAAATTATTCAGTGTAGAAATGAGAAAAATAGTAAACTAATAATTTGGCCATTCCAAAATTGACTTCTCATTAAAATATCCTTTGCCTTATTCTGAGTACCTGGCAGTAGATCCCAAGTGGCATATAGTTTCTATACAGTAGAAACTTCCTTATCTTCTTATGATGGGGAGGGATAGTTAGTTTTCTAAAAAGTTGGTAAAGGAGGTAATCAAAAATTTTATATATCTTAATTTTTAATTTTAATTTAAAGTATATAAACACTTAGTTACTAATCTTGATATTGGACCAAGGACTTTTCTTTGCATATATGCCACTAACATTCACTTCATCATTCTCAACGTTGATCACACCCATAATTGATCCTCTGTAATTTCCACTTTGGGTCCCTGTAGTGGATTGAGGAACAGTGAGTACAGATTTCTAAACTTTTTATTTATTTGTTCCTCTCTCTCCAAGTTATCTGTCTCACATCACATAGGTCCAAGGTTTTCCCCCTGCAGTGTGACTTCCTATGAACTCTTTCTAAAGCATTCAACTTAATTTTTATGAAAATATAAACTGTCATCATACTCATTTCATTAGTTTATATAGTAATTAAGTTACTTACATACAAAAGAAGTACAACGCACATAGTGAGGCTTGGGGAAACACAGCTGACTAGTTGTAAATAAACAACTCTGCTAGTGGGAGTAGAAGTTTATAGGGGTCAGTGATGACTCCTAGCTAGAGTTCTTGGCATGCTGTGGGTATCAGTCACTACATTTTATAGCCAAAAGGAAGGCTCCAATTTAGTGAAAGTTGGTTTTGAGAATATCTATATGTCTTAGAGTAAATAAGGGCTGGCTTTTATTTAAAGGCTCCCTATAGTTTATAGTTTATAGTTTATAGTTTATATTTTGAAGATCTAATTCACATAATTAGTTAAAGCTTCAGTGCCATCCATGATAAGATTAGAAACCCTAGGGTCTTAGAAGAGATGCAAATTAAACATAACTTTTTAAAAAACTTTAAAAAATTAAGTTTCATTTTCTTAAGTGTGAAATTATTATTATTTTTTGGTTAATTGATGTAGTCTAAATGAAGATAACATCTCCATTCTTGTATTGACTAGTTAGCTTTGTATATGAAAAATTGTTCCATGACTAAGCCTGGCCTATACCAACTGTATTAAGATGCACAGATTGTTGTTCACTAATGGGACTTGGTCAGGGTTTGTAGCTGGCTCACTGCAGCTCTGCTGTCACCCCTAGAGACACAGTTGGAAGTGGATAATGGGTGGGTGTTGATTTTTACTCCCCTTTTATAAGGGCAATATATTCGTAACTTGGTTTTCTGTATGAATTTTGGGGTCTGGACTGCCAGTCCGGGTGACTCTGCTTGCTTTGGATTTGACTGCAGTAGAACTTTTAAGTATGACTTTGATGACCATTTCTGGTTTGACTCAGTCTCTGGCTGTTCTATCATTTGTTATTTTACATCTAGCCTTTCTGTTGTAAAACGTAGGAGTTGTTCTGGGAATCCTAACATCTAGAATTTAGGGGGAATGCCTTCTGTTTGCAAAAGCACTGTATGTTCTTAAAGCGCATCTTCAATTTTTTTGGTTATTCTGTTTGCCGATTTCCATTGAATATTGTATAACATAAAAAGTTCTCTTAGCTTTTTAAACAAATGGATGTGAATGTAAAACTCGAGATCAATAAGCCAAAGGTCTAGTTTGAGAAACTTTTCAACTGTAGTTTATTCATTACTATTTTACCTTTGATTTGTTTTCCCTAATTCATATTCTGCTTATCTAATTTTTCTTTTTTTTCTTTTTCAGTGATGATCACATTAAATTTTTCTGCTTTCAAGTACTAGAACATCAAGTTAAATACAAGTAAGGCTTTTCTCCCTGAGATTTGTGGGGAAAGGCCTTTTTTTTTTTAACTTTTAAAATAATTAATTAATTAATTTCTTTTTGACTACGTTGCGTCTCTGTTGCTGCAGTCAGGCTTTCTCTAGTTGCAGCGAGCAGGGGCTGCTCTTCGTTGTGGTGCCCGGGCTTTTCATTGCGGTGGCTTCTCTTGTTGCAGAGCACAGGCTCTAGGCGCACAGGCTTCAGTAGTTGTGTATGGGCTTAGTTGCTCTGTGACTTGTGGGATCTTCCTGCACCAGGGATTGAACCCGTGACCCCTGCATTGGCAGGCGGATTCTTAACTGCTACGCCACCAGGGCAGTCCCGAGAGGCCATTTTTTAAATTAGTTTTTCCCTCTTTGGGGACACCATAACATAGGTTGTAAATTGATGGTATATGTCATATCCAGCTCATAGATGTATTTTGATTTATCCCAAAAAGTGTTTTAAAAATACTGAGTTCATTGGTTACATATAAAAATCCAGTCATTTCACAGGAAAAAAATAGCTTTCCAGCTTCTCTGGAAAAAATTAGAAGATCTAGCAATACTGAGCCTGTTTCTCTGAACGATGACTCTCTGTTAGAGTTGAGTGGCAGTGTGGGCACTTGCATTTAGAACCCCTGCCTAATTTAAGTAAAAACAGTGAATTGCTGCTCTGGGGATCCTTAGTTTGCCTACTGATTTATTCTGTAAACCACAGACCTGAGACCATGGATGTATTTTCATCTGAAAAATTGTGTAGCTGCCATTTTGTTTTAACATGAACTGAACCACAAAACAAAGATCAGTATTGATACCCCAGCTGCCTCTCCCACCCTTGTCTTTAAAGCAGTAATGAGAGGTATTACCAATTTGTTTTAGGGAATTTTAGATAGTCGAGTGCTGTACAAATTTTCTCATTCAAATTTATAAGAGGCTGTTATTTTTTAAAACCACAGACACTAAACATTATCATTGTTATTTTTCTTCCCTATTTTGAACAGATATTCAGAACTAACTACTGTTCAACAACAACTGATTAGGGAGACACTCATATCTTGGCTTCAAGCTCAGGTAAAATAGTAGTTTTTACATTTAGTACCTCAAATTGCCAGATATTTAAATTTTTATTTTTGCAAGAGTTTGCAACTTCACCTCAAACATGTCACTCATTTATCCTCCATTTCGTCATGTAGCTATTTTAGAAAGTGCTGTTTTTGAAGATCATGGGTAGGTGAAAACTTAGCAATAACTTAAAATTATATTGATAATTGAAGCTGTCATTCTGTCCATGACACATGGTGGAAACTGGTTTTAAAATGTAATTTTTTTTAACTACTTGACAAAAGTGGCTTTTCTGTTCACACTTAAGGTGAGCTCTCCTGGACAGCCTCTTAACAAAGAGCCCTTTTCAAAGGAGCCAATAGAGTTCTTTATTCACTACGTTCTTTTTCATTAATTTTAGCTAATCTTAACGTATTAAAGCAGTTGTGTAGCTAGGATGTTTATTTTCCTTAAAGAGCAAGCAGCTAGAAGAAAAATCGTTGAATTATTTTCTTCTTAGAAAAAATTATAGGAACTACTAACGCTCTGCCCATGAAACTTTTCTCTGAAAGTGTGAGAGTGAGGTGTAACGGTTAGCACCTCTGTTCATTTGATTGTTCTCCATCTGGCTAGTCACCTTAGAACTTTGGTAATTTTCAAGCATATTTGTTGCACAGCTGTTCTAGAGCCTAGTGAAGTTTGGTGGGGTTTTGCCTATTAATGATAAATAGGAAAACAACGTTTGAGTCTTTTCCATTTACATTTAATTTTATGAACTATTTCTCTGTTTGTCAGATGCTGAATCCCCAACCAGAGAAGACCTTTATACGAAATAAAGCAGCCCAAGTCTTCGCCTTGCTTTTTGTTACAGAATATCTCACTAAATGGCCCAAGTTTTTTTTTGACATTCTCTCAGTAGTGGGCCTAAATCCAAGGGGAGTAGATCTATACCTCCGAATTCTCATGGCTATTGATTCAGAGTTGGTGGATCGTGATGTGGTGCATACATCAGAGGCAAGTAACTTCCTATTAATTTTAAGTTTTTAATGTAGATATTGTAGGAGATGGTGGGCATATAATAAAAGGATCAAGAAGAGTTTTTTATTTTGAGATAAAACTTTATTAAGAATACTTATAAATTTACTCAACATTTTGAATTTTGTTTTACAAAGGAATTTAAACTTGGGGTTTTTTCCCAGGTGTAGGGTGAAATTAGAGTATTCAGATTTTTTTTTAACCAGGCAAGAACTTTCTCTAGAGAAATACACAAATTGATTTTTTCCTATGAATCTGTAGACAAATGTGGCCTATATTTACTACTGCTTTATAGTCACCGAGTGAGGAAAAAGCATTACTTATGAATCAATGCTGGGTTCTTCTGTATTCTCAGTTAGTCACATAGCCCATCACCTTAGTCTTTCTCTATTTCTGTATTACCCAATATAACTTTCTCCTTTTTCTTAAAGAACACAATGGAAATAGCTTAATTCAAATGTGTATGATAATTTGAGGTCATTGTATGTCAAATATATTTGTAACATTTAAGTAATTGCTATTCTCTTAAGTAATTTTAAGTATTTGTATAATATTGAGAAATAACTTTTATCACATGGTTAAGATTTCTAAGCAATGTTTATTTATAGTTTGTGTTTAATAAGAAATTATGTCTGAGGAAATGAGTAGAATGGAAGGCGGAATTAGAAAGAATCACAGGTTATGATTTTAGAGCAGAGAAATAGGAAATAGCGGCAGTGAATGTGTTAACAAGTCTGGAAGTTTAGTGGTGAGGAAATTACTGTGTGCAACCATTATTCAGATGTTAAACATTATTTTGGGAGGTAATCTACTTTAACTGTGTATATGGTACTTCGTTTTGTCTTTTAGGAGGCTCGTAGGAATACTCTCATAAAAGATACCATGAGGGAACAGTGCATTCCAAACTTGGTGGAATCATGGTACCAAATCCTACAAAACTATCAGTATACTAATTCAGAAGTAACATGTCAGTGCCTTGAAGTAGTTGGGGCTTATGTCTCTTGGATAGACTTATCCCTTATAGCCAATGATAGGTAAGTTAACCTATATTTTAAAAATATAAACCTACAAAATACAGTATGTAAAACTCATGAATTTGAAAATGTTGTAACAATTTTATTTCACCATTGCCAGGTTTATAAATATGCTGCTAGGTCATATGTCAATAGAAGTTCTACGGGAAGAAGCATGTGATTGTTTATTTGAAATTGTAAATAAAGGAATGGATCCTGTTGATAAAATGAAACTAGTAGAATCTTTGTGTCAAGTATTACAGTCTGCTGGTTTTTTCAGCATTGACCAGGTCAGTAAATTTATGTATAAGGTTTTGAAAATGTTAGAACAAATTAGGATAGGCAGTAATTTAAATATGCGTTCCTTTTCTTTTTCTTTTGTTTTTAAATGCTGGAAACTTCCTTGACATAATAATGAAACATTGTATCTAGAAAGCCATAATGTTATCTGTAACATTTGCCTTGAACAATAGATTATACCAGACTTAAACTTGAAGATCTGGGATTGTGCATTTCTAACAAACTCTCAGGTGATACTGTGATACTGCTGATTCATGGACCACACTTTAAGAAGCATGGCAGTGCATTTTGACCTAAATTAGACTCAATTGTGTAAATGTTATATTTTCATCACATTCATTTGAGCTGTTAAAGTTTAGCCTCAGCAGAATTAGGGCTGAGTGTGGTAAATTAGTAATTTAGAAACTGAATTTGAAGGGTTTTATTTTTAATTTTACCTGTGATATTGGTAAAGAATTACTGAGAAGTCTTTGTATTGTTGATATGTCAGGAGTACAACACCTCTGGTATTTTCCTAGCTGAAAATTAGTAGTGTTTTCTTACACTGCTAATAATTGTCTTATTTAGTCCCTGGTAAAAGATTTAAAATGGTGAAGGTAAAAATCTCTTTCTGTAGGAAACATCATAAGGATAATTAATGAAAATAACCTAATTTTAAGTTCTAGAATTAGTGCTGATGTGACCTTAGGCAGATTATTATAATAGCAGTTTTATCTCTGTAGTGCAGTTGAGGTTCAAATTAAACAGTATCAGAAAGGGCTGTTGTAAATTCTTATACATAGCATAATATGGTGTCATTAACTGTATGAGAGCATATTTACTAAATTCAGCAGTTTAGAGAGAAGGTTTTGAAACCACAGATCTCTTTTTTTTTAAGCTTTTATAAGTTGGCAATGTCTACATGACTATAATCATTAAAAAAAGTTGCTTTGAAGAGTTAGTACTAATGGATAATAATAGTAGAAGAATTCAAATTCTTAAGATTTCCCAGTCAAAATGGTAGAATTGTTAGTGTCTAATGTTAGTTTAAAAATGACTCCTGGGACTTCCCTGGTGGCACAGCGGTTAAGAATCTGCCTGCCAATGCAGGGGACACAGGTTCGAGCCGTGGTCCGGGAAGATCCCACATGCTGCGGAGCAGCTAAGCCCGTGTGCCACATCTACTGAGCCTGTGCTCTAGAGCCAATGAGCCACAACTACTGAGCCCCCGTGCCACAACTGCTGAAGCCCGCGTGCCTAGAGCACTACAACGAGAAGCCCACGCACCACAACGAAGAGTAGCCCCGGCTCGCTGCAGCTAGAGAAACCCGGCGCACAGCAACGAAGACCCAGCGCGGCCAAAAATAAAAAATAAATAAATAAAATAAAAATAAAAATGACTCCTATGATTGGTATTTGACCCATACCTAAGTTTAGAGTTTTCCCTCCTAGGTGGTTGGTTTTAAATTGAAGTATTGATCATTTGTAGGAAGAAGATGTTGACTTCCTGGCCAGATTTTCTAAACTGGTTAATGGAATGGGACAGTCATTGATAGTTAGCTGGACTAAATTAATTAAGAATGGGGATATCAAGAATGCTCAAGAGGCACTACAAGCTATTGAAACAAAGGTGGCACTGATGTTGCAGCTCCTAGTTCATGAGGATGATGACATCTCTTCTAACATTATTGGATTTTGTTATGATTATCTTCATATTTTGAAACAGGTAAGTCCTTATTTTAATCTTTTTGTCCAGTAGATAATATAGAAAAGCAATAGAGAATTGGAAAATACAGGAAAAATGAAAACAAGAATATACTCATAATTCTACACTCTAATGACATTTACTGTTAATTATTAATGTATTTTCATCTTTTTTTTTTTCTTTAAACTTCTTAGCCAAAAAACAAATGGCCAGGTTCTAAAATTCACTAGACTAAAAAGCTTCAGAATTAGTTATAGGTTTAGGTTTTTTTTTTTATTTTGAATCTGTGTTTATTTCTTTTTCTTTTTTTAAATCTTGGCTGCTTTGCACGGCTTACGGGATCTCAGTTCCCTGACCAGGGGTTGAACCTGGGCCCCAGCAGTGAAAGCGCCAAATCCTAATCACTAGACCACCAGGGAACTCCATGAATCTGTTTATTTTTATTTATTTATTTTTTTTGTGTGTGTGGCTGTGCGGCATGTAGGGTCTCAGTTCCCTGACCAGGGATTGAATCCGTGCCCCCTGCATTGGGAGCGCAGAGTCTTAAACTGGACCGCCAGGGAAGCCCCCTCTGTTTATTTCTAAATACAGTAGAAATTTTGTTAAACATGGTTCATTATTTTTTTAATTTAATTATTTAATTTATTTATTTTTGGCTGCGTTGGGTCTTCGTTGCTGCATGCGGGCTTTCTCTAGTTGTGGCGAGCGGGGGCTGCTCTTCGTTGCGGTGCGCAGGCTTCTCATTCTGATGGCTTCTCTTGTTGTGGAGCCTGGGCTCTAGGCATGCAGGCTTCAGTAGTTGCAGCATGTGGGCTCAGTAGTTGTGGCGAGCGGGCTCTAGAGCACAGGCTCAGTAGTTATGGCGCCTGGGCTTAGTTGCTCCACGGCATGTGGGATCTTCCCGGACCAGGCTTCACACCTGTGTCCCCTTCATTGGCAGGTGGACTCTTAACCACTGCACCACCAGGGAAGTCCCCATGGTTCCTTATTTTAATTACATATGCATCATTTCTTATAAACAATTATTTTTTACAATTAAAAATTTCCCCCTAGAGAGTTGCTTCCAATAATAGACCTTAAAATGTAGAAGGTATGAATCTCCCATATTATATTGATAGCGTGTAGCCTTTTAAAGAATTAGTGATTTCTCATTATGACATTAGGTGAGAGGCATTCCTATTTTATTGATATTTACATTGAATTAGTTGAATTGAGTCAAGCTTAAAATAATATTTTCCAAACTGAGTTTAGCTTCTTTATACACCTAATATGTTTCTGCTTGCATACTTTAAGAAATTTTAGGCAATGTGGAAAGGTATGAAGAAAGTTAAAATTGGTATCACTATTGATAGTCCCACTGTGTATCTCGTAATGGATTTCTAGGCTTTTTTGGCCTTGTTTAAAAACAAAGTAAGATCATACTTTGCTGTTCTATAATCTGCTTCTTTGTTGAATACATTTATAAGTATCTTTTCAAATCAAATTCATCTACATGTCTTTGCCTACATGTCAAGTTACTTACTAGAAGTGAAATTGATAGATCTTAGGTTAGGTACATTTCATATATAGAAATGTACTGTCAAACTGCCCTCCAGAAAAGCTGTGTGCATGTTTGAAAAGATCTTAACTAATCAGAAAAATATTCTGATAAGCAAGTATAACTTCAGGAAAGCTAATAAATGATTGCTTTCTTTCAACAGCTTACAGTGCTCTCTGATCAGCAAAAAGCTAATGTAGAGGTAATTGACTTCTTTTTGTTTCTTTTAAACCAATAATAGAATCTACATCTGTAGTCTGCCTTGAAATATAGCTTAATTTCAAATTACATGAAATTAAAGGAAACTGACAAAAGGTATTTTATTCTTAATTTTAGGCAATCATGTTGGCCGTTATGAAAAAATTAACCTATGATGAAGAATATAACTTTGAAAATGAGGTAAGAATTTTGCATTGAGGAGAAATCAGTTTTAATTTTGTTTACTTACATCAAATTAATATTCTAAGTTTTGATTATCTTAAAAAATTAGTCTTGGGGTTTTGTTTTTGTTTTTGTTATTTGACTGCATTGGGTCTTCGTTGCTGCTCACGGGCTTTCTGTCTAGTTGTGGTGAGCAGGGGCTACTCTTTGTGGTGCATGGGCTTCTCATTGCAGTGGCTTCTCTTGTTGTGGAGCATGGGCTCTAGGCATGCAGGCTTCAGTAGTTGCAGCACACAGGCTCAGTAGTTGTGGTCACGAGCTCTAGAGTGCAGGCTCAGTAGCTGTCGCGCACGGGCTTAGTTGCTCCACGGCATGTGGAATCTTCCCGGACCAGGGGTTAAACCCGTGTCCCCTGCATTGGCAGGTGGATTGTTAACCACTGTGCCACCAGGGAAGTCCCTAGTCTTGTTTATATTGACCTCTACTTAGGTGAAATTAATGGAAACTTTCATAATCCTTCATTTTTTTGTATTTTGTCCCTCTTTAAAATGACCCTTTTAAAAACACTTTGTAGCATTGAACTTCATAAATATTGACAGTATTATTGGTGATCATATTTCACTTTATATTTAGTAAGAGTGATCAGTTGAAGCCCAGTTGATGGACCTCAGATCATAATTGTCTGTGGGAGAGCAGGAATGAAGTACTTAACCGTCTCTGGACTTGCTCTAGTTAAAGTCTTGTCCAGGGTTGTCAGTGAGTCAGCTTCTCATCAATCACAAGGTTCATCGGTGCTTTCTAGCAACTCAGTGATGGCGTGTACTGTCCAGTTGTGTGCTAACGTGTTCTGTTACCCACTTCAGGCATTCAAAAACTTCTAACTGTAAAAGAATAATGATGATGATCACCAACACACCATGCACTTATGAAGTGCTAGGCTCATTACATATAGTATCTTCAATCATGTGATATTATTGCAGTTCTTAAAGTGGACAGTGAGATACAAGGAGTATAAATGAGGTGCCAGAGTTCTCACAGAGCCCTACATGAACCCATCCTGGCTTAGACTCTTGTTTTTGTTTTTTCCCCAAAGCTTTACATTATCTGTCCTTTGCTTAATTGTCCCTCAATAACTCTTTCCTGTTAGACTTTTGTTTTTAACGTCCTCCCTATGCTATTTCTGGCTCTAGGCTTTCATGGTCTAGGGCTGTGTTGAGAAATAATTATTTGTGAGCAGGAGGGGAAAGGCTACTGAGCATAGTACATTTTCCTACATAAATAAATATTGATGAAAAAATAAAAGTGTATTAAATTTGTAAATAGAAAAACTAGTGAGAACTCACCATTTTATGTGTTTTAAGATCTTTTAAGTTTTTTAATGGAATTTTTAAAATATCATAGGGTGAAGATGAAGCCATGTTCGTAGAATACAGAAAACAACTGAAGTTATTGTTGGACAGGCTTGCTCAAGTTTCACCCGAGTTACTGCTGGCTTCTGTTCGAAGAGTTTTTAGTTCTACCCTGCAGTAAGTTTGTTACGCTGCTTCTAACAAGTCACCTCTTTCCTTTTCTCCCTGATGATGGTCTACCATAAGTGATTCACGTGACTTATTAATTTATGTTACTTATGAAGACCTTATGTGTATCTCTGAAACAATGCACTTGCCTCTGATTTATCTTGATTCTTGGGGGGAAATACTGCTCTTTGGAATGTAAATAAAATGGATTTCATTAGTTTTGTATACTTTTGTGATATGAATTATGTTGCCTGGCAAAATTAACAATTGCTGTGACTGTTTAATAATTAAAGAGGCTTTGGTTGGTGTCTTTTTATCCCGTGCATCACTAGTTGTATAGAAAGTTTATATTCAGATTTCACTGACATATTATATACCTTGGTAGGAATTGGCAGACTACAAGGTTTATGGAAGTTGAAGTGGCAATAAGATTGCTCTATATGTTGGCAGAAGCTCTTCCAGTATCTCATGGTGCTCACTTCTCAGGTGATGTTTCAAAAGCTAGTGCTTTGCAGGATATGATGCGAACTGTAAGTATACTAAAGATAATTTATTTTGAACATAATTTTCTGTTTTCATATAAGCTAATGTGAGTTCCTTAATTGTTAGAGCTTAATATATGTTAATACTGGGACATTTTGATGTTGCAGTAAATAAGGATAGATTTCTTAACTTTTTCCTGCTCCAGTTGGTAACATCAGGAGTTAGTTCCTACCAGCACACATCTGTGACATTGGAGTTCTTCGAAACTGTTGTTAGATATGAAAAGTTTTTCACAGTTGAACCTCAACACATTCCATGTGTACTGGTAAGTATATACTTTACTCTCAACTTTTATTTTCCGTGTGTTTCAGCTAATGAGCAGATAGTGTTCTATCTTTTATTACTTTTTCCAGAGCCAGAAGCTCTCAAAAACTCTTCGACACACTGAAACTAACCCCTCCTCCATTCCTTTAAAATGGAGTTTGTGTCTAGTCAGTTATTTAAAACAAATACTCAAGGGCCTGTTTGTGTGTAGTGTAGGCTTACTTTTTATATGTACCTAGTTCTTCCCTTCTAGAGCTAAAAAGTAGAATTTGGTATGAACAAAAATGTGTCATGACGATAGCAATAAAAGCCTTAAATAAGTACAGAAATAGTAAAAGTGTCTCTGTTTCTTTAGATGGCTTTCTTAGATCACAGGGGTCTGCGGCACTCTAGTGCAAAAGTACGGAGTAGAACTGCTTACCTGTTTTCTAGATTTGTCAAATCTCTGAAGTAAGTACAAAATTTCATCTATAATGTTTAATTCTTGTTTTTAAGATTGTTAAGTAAGATGTAAATTATTTTCTAAGAGCCTGTGGTAGATTTGGTCTTTTCGTCCTAAGGCTTTTGTAAAATTTTGGTGTTCCTTTTTGTATCATGATGTTACGATTTCTTTTCCTTCTCTTGAGCCAGGTACTTTGTTCATCATTAAACAGTGATTTGTTTGAATATTTTTGTATGTAACACCTGTCATCACTAATGACATTAGTTACTTAACAGTTTTACTGCTGTAGATAACTCTATGGCTTCTTTGAAATTCTAAAGATGATATTCCTTGGAAATACATGTTGAACTTAATCTGTTTTATATTGTATTGTTCTTTACTAGTACCAGTTTTTGGTATGAAAACTACTTATTCTTAGGCTTATAAAATTGTAGTTTAAAAAAATCATAGCTAGTCTGAATGATCACATGTGACTACCTTAGCACTGAACTTTTTTTTTAGTTCTGCCTTGAGGGATTTGGCATTTCCGCACTTTGCCAAGCACTGTTATTTATGTAATTGTGGTTTTCCTTTTTGCCTTTATTCAGTAAACAAATGAATCCTTTCATTGAGGATATTCTGAATAGAATACAAGATTTATTAGAACTTTCTCCACCTGTAAGTATCTATCCTTCTGAGTGATAAGTTTTCCCCAATATTGAGGCTACATATCCCTTTAGCCTTTAGTGTTAATGCCTTTGGGTGTTTTTTTGTTTTTGTTTTTTAAAGTGTGGATGGAGGGTGTGCAAGGGTTAGTTTTGTTTACCAAAACTCTGTTGAGATACAGTAAACAAAACATAGTAATAGAAATAGAAAGGAATCAAAATTTGACTGATAGATTTAGCAGTGTGAGATATGGTCTGCTGTCTGTACTGTTAAATGCCAGTGAAGTGTTTTTTGGAGAAGGAAAATTCGGTTTCTAAATTATTCTCTGTTTAGTACTATGATCACAGCCATTCTCAGTGACTGCTACTGGTAGACTGAAGTGTTTCTGTGAAACTTCTGGCTTGGGGTAAAAAAAATTTTAATGCTGGTTGATCTGTATATTTCGGTGTTTATTTCACTAGACAGATTTAAGTTGAGATACTTTGTAAGCACATTTTGACTGATACATGTTTTTGTGTAAAGCAAAATACTGACCTTGACATTTTTTTTTTCATTTTGATGAAAGTTATTAATAGAGCTACCACTTGAAAAGTGTTAAACATAAAATAATATTTTGGGTTTTTAAAAAATAAATATCAGTATTCAGGGTACAAAGGTATATAATTTCATTGCATGAAAGGTTACTAGTACATAATATGGTTAAATTATCTTTGCCTACATATTAAAGAAACATATATATTAAAATACTTCATGGGACTTCCCCTGGTGGTCCAGTACATAAGACTTCACACTCCCATTGCAGGGGGCCCAGGTTCAATCCCTGGTTGGGGAACTAGATCCTGCATGCATGCTGCAACTAAGAGTCCACATGCCGCATCTAAGAGCCCGCAAGCTGCAACTACAAGTCCACATGCCACAACTAAAAGATCCTGCGTGCCACAACTAAGACGCAGTGCAGCCTAAATAAGTAAATTTATATAAAAAATAAATAGGAGGCTTCCCTGGTGGCGCAGCGGTTGAGAGTCCGCCTGCCGATGCAGGGGACACGGG